TTTAAAGACAATTCTTGAATTTTTGATGCCAGGTTTGCTTTGCAATCAGTTAGGAGCCTATTTTTCTAGGTATTCTTTAGACTCCTTCGAATTTCTCCGTCCAGTTGTGGGAGTTACAGTTTGTTTTTCTCACATTGTTCTCTTGTTCTTTTATCCAATTTGTTTTAGGAAAATTTGTTAAATTGACCCAATTTAAAATTGGGAATGTTTCAATAAACTTTATACACATATCATTTTGTCTCAATAACCTTTGATATTTTCATAACCCAATTATAACCTTCAATATTAATAAAAACTGATTTTTAAAAATATTTTCGGAATTTTTTTAATAACATAAAAATATATATCAAACTTCTTCTTCTCCACCTCTTCCCGACCAAATTTCATATATGTTTTCCGTTTTTAATCAAAAAATTGTAGGATTTTCCAAAAATGCAAAATGTGTTTTTTTCCAAAAACACTTCAAAAATGTTTTTCGAAAAAAGAAGAAAATCAGGAAGGAGAATAATAGATTTAGAAAATATTTACCGAATATTGCGTTTTTGAAAAGAAAATAACTCACAATTTAATGGTCCTAGTTTTAAGGGATTAAAACTAATTTTGGTAGAATATCCTTTCGATAATATATATTATGCGTATCGTAGAAGACAGAATCATTGATAGAAATAGTATTCTGTGGTTAGTAGTACTGAAATAAAATAGTGGCATATGCGATATATAAAATTTGAACAATTAGTAAAATACTTCTTTCTACCACTCGTACAACAAATAGTGGACGCTCTTGTATTGCTTTTTATGTAGATATTTAAAAAGTGCTATAAAAATAACTGCTTTATGGTACAAATAGTAAAGTGCTCTTGTATCGCTTTCTACCACTCGTAGAACAAATAGTGAAAAGTGCTTTTTATGGTACAATATGTATCGCTTTCTCTGTAGACATTTAGTGAAATGGTAAAAAGAATAGTGATAAGAGTGGTGATATCATATACCAAATATCAAAGCTAACTTTCTGAACAAATATTTCGTAGTTTTAACTTTTATTTTTTGCTCAAGCCTCAAATAACCTTGAGCCCATGTCTAAACCACTCTTTTCCTTTTCACATTCCGTCGTTAATATCTTCGTAACCCAATTCAAAACGAAAGAAGAGACAAGCAATAACCCCTAAAACTTATCAAGGCTCATCGCTATATCAACATCTTATTCCATAGCTTTAACCTATTTAATGGCGCAATACTCAAAACCCATCAACCCATCAGACACCAATTCTATCGAGAGCTATTCTTGAGATCAATGACAATCACACTTATATTGTCACTGCTTTGTCTACCCAAAGCTAACCGCGTAAGCAACGTTGCAGCCAATACACTCCTTGAAGGAATTTGTTCTGACCCCCCTCCTCCTCCTCCATTGTCGTCTTCTTCAGCTGTTCTGTTTAAATCAAGGCTCGAGGGACCTTCTTCACAGAGACAGAACCTAGCTATGTCGCCAGCTAGCTGACTCGAAAGCACATCCCAAAGTCCATCACTAGCTAAAATTAAGCATTCATCCCCAGATTCTCTTCTCATGAATGTTACTTCTGGTTCCCATGCTACCATTGGCTTAAGATACCTGTCCCCTGTCCCGTGGATTGTAACACTACGTTACCAACATTTTCAAATTTATTTTTGTTCTGAAACAACTCGATCCAAACCAACCAAAGGATCCATCGAAATAAAACATACTTTAGTTAAAATGATCTAAATTGAAACAAAAAAGGAAAGATAGAGAAGCTAACAAAAACTCTCTTTTTTTAAGAATTTGTTTTTTAAAATATAGTTCCTCTGTTTTAATTTAGAAGATGTTTGAATTAAACTTTCTCTACATAAAGATTGAGTTATTTCTACTTTATTACTTAATGGTACAAGACAAAATATACAAGTAAATTTTTTTTCTAATATGAATTAAAATCTTACACTTACATCTTAATTTTTTTTTTAAAATGAACTAAGCTTTTACACTTCGTTTACAAAGTGAAACGGAATGATCTTATTTAAGCTCTGTAGTGAAACGGAAACTAAATCAGACCGATCCATACTAACTTCTTTTTAACATTTTTTTTGCTAAATACTTATTTTTAACATAGTTACTATATTTTAAAAAAATTGAACCGAAACCAAAATGTGTACCCATCTTGCTCTTTACCAATTTGGACTTGTCTCACTGGTTTGAAACCAAACCCTAAGGATTGAGAAAAATATTTACCTATCGCCCTCGACGTGGCTAGAATGCCTTCAACTCTAGCTCCGTCCACCACTAAAACCCGACCACCAGCTGCTTCGATCCTCGCTCGCTCGTCTGGTCTATCCGGCTGCACAAAACCCAAATCTAACAACTTTAAACATAGTTCTCTCAAAGCTCTAGCAGGAGCTAAAACAAAGTAGTATGCTACTGCTACTACTACGACTCTGCGACCTAACCAAGATTCGAATCAAATAAAGCACCTTGTGATCGTTACTCAAAGGAACAGCGACTCCACTTCGACACAGCACCGCACGTGAATCGCCAGTGTTGGCTACTATGATATGCTCTTGCGTCAGCACCGCCGCAACCGCCGTAGATCCCGAAATCGCAGCCTCCCTCGGATCGCAGCTGCAAAGCGACACGGTGGTTTCACACACGTAAGTTGCCAGCTCATCCATCCTCTCGAAACTCCGTTTCATAACTCCCTTCCATTTCTTCTCCACGACGTCGTTTCCTTCTTCCTCTGTTTTACACTCTGTTTGCTCCACCTCTTCCCTAACTAGCGTGTGCATCGTCGTGCTGCACATTGTTGACACCTGTTCACACGTCAAAATCACAACCTCTTCAACTCCGCTAAATTACCAGGGTACCCCTGCATCATAAGTATTTTTTTACCTGAGAACCGCCGTGGCCGTCGTAAACAGCGAAGAAATGAACCGGTCTTTGCCGGTTTACTTCCGGTCTACACAAATTCGGTTTGACGGTAACCCTATCTTCCATGTTACGGGATCTTCCCATCACTGAAACTACTCCGTACATGGGCTCATCTTCCGGTCCTGATTTCGTCGGAGACGGGAAGAAACCTCCGATGTCCGCCGGGAGACCTCCGATCTCCGTCCTCCGTGGCTGTTTTCTGACCAGAGAGAATCTTGAGTAAACCTCTTGCTCCGTCCGATCTCGACTCTTAGACGACGAGGACGAGTTGGGATCGCCGAAAACAGCCGCTTGCCTCCGCATCTCGATTCGCCGTCGACGTCGCTCACGGCATTTACTCGGCGAAACGTCGTCTCTTCGTCCGGTAGAAATTGTTCGGTAGATTTCAGTCATCGATCGTCTCCGTGGATCAGTGAGCACCGCTTTATATATACATGGGGCCGCGAGAGAGAGACAGGGGACTGAGCTTACGAGGAAGGAGGGACACGTGTCAGTTCTTAGATGCATTTGCGTGTTAAGCTCAGATGTTAAGTTGTTGTCCACGTGGAGACGCATTCCGTTTTTAAAAACGGCATCCCCCGGTTTTGAGCTCTCTTTCATTTTGAAGATACTCTTAATTAATTTATCGATTATATTAATCTACAAAATACATTCAAGTATTTTTTATTGATGCAAATTGAGTTTTAGAATTTAAAAAGTATAACTGTAAATTAGATTTTTGATAAAATATTCAGATAACGTCCTCACTATATATACGCAGAGAGAAATGTTTCTAATATAATGCAGCAGATACAGATCAACAAAGCTTACCTTTCTTTGCTAAGACAAGCAGATACCACGACGAGAAGACTCAAATACAACAACTAACAAAAAAAAAAAGAACCGCGGACATAAATCTAATCTCCTATCTACCTAATATTCACTCTAAAGAATATAATTATAGAATTTCACCCCGAACCTAGAACACAGAAAATTAACAAGGTGTACAGTTATAGCGACAACATTAAATAACTAGAAATATTTAATTTTTAATCAAATACTTAAAAATCGTTGATAATAATCTCAAGCGTATGTAAAAAAACCAAACTTTTAAACAATGTTATAAAAAGAGTTAGGCGCTTAGTTGGCGGTGAAAGAAGGCTTAGAGTCTAATCGTATATGTGGAAATATTGGCGAAGCTTCGGTAGAAAATTATTTTTTATATACATATATCTACAAAGAGGAATATATCTACATATCCCTTATATATTATTCGGAAAATAATCTTGTTGAGTTTGTTTATGTGTCAACTCCACATTCATTTTTACCAAATAAATATGATATGTCCAAATAATTATTATGACATGGCAAATACTTATATTGTAATTAACTTTTGATTTAAAAATTCAATCTCATAAAATATCTCTTCGAATCTCCTTCAAACATTTTTTTGGAAGGTTGACTAACAAATCACATAACAAAATACCTACACCTACGTACAAATGTTAAAAGTATATGTTATCTTATAACTAAGCTAATTTAAAAAGCCCTTAAATCTCATAACAAAATACATATACCTACGGACATATATTATAAGTATATGCTAATTTAAAAGTATATGATAATTTTATACAATATTAAAAGTATATGTTATCTCATATTTGTAACTTTTTAAAAAAATAAAAATAATTGTAACTTTAATAAAATTCATAAACTTTTAAATTAGCATATACTTTAAATATTATCTCATAACTAAACTTTAATAAAATTCATAAATGAATCTTCGCAAATATTTTATTTAATAAATTTTTGGTTAATCTAACTAACCTTATTTGGAATCAAAAATTAATCCTCATAACTACAATTTTAATAAAATTCCAAAAGCAAATCATTCCAAATATTAAAGTTTATAAAACAGAAAATGAAGATTCTATAAGATATTAAGTATTCGTCGAGATTTCCATATTAGAAATATTGATCAAATCCGAAATTTATCGCTGGAGAAAAAAGTGACGAATCGTCGTCACTTGCCACTCCTTTCGGTGCTACACATGGCAATCATCTACAAGTTCTCGATTGCTCAGGTTGTGCTACTTATACCAACACAACACATGGGCCATATGAGTTTTATTCTTTAATTGATTTCCTACAAAGGAAGAAAAACGGCGACATATATATTTTAGGGTATTTAGCTCAAATCCCATAT